AAATGTCTCATTCAGATTAAAAAAAAATAAATTACATTTTGAAGGAATTTTAATGAGTTTTTAACCATTTATTTTTATTGTTTTAGGGCCAGCTCTAATCATGATACCTTGACTTACTGACTTTCAGAAAATAATTTCTGGTTGAAAGCATAACTTGATCCAAGGACCAGAATGAAAATCTACCTTTTAATGAGCAACGTCTGCATATATATTTTGGTGATATTGAACTTTATACACTTGGCTATTTTTTTTTGCAACTACTGGTCATGAATGTTTGTATTTGCAAGTCACAAGGTATCACTACTGAACTTTGACTGGATGACTGTAACACTTTAAAAAAGTGAGAAAAAAACGTAAAGTAATTGCTAGTATGACTGATTCACCAAGTGAGTTCACATTTGTATTTGCCACAAACCAGTGCCTTTGCCAGCAAAATTCCACCATAGGAATGTACGGTGAAAATCTGCAAATATCACAAAAATAAACCCAGACGTATTTAGATAAAGCATTTATCCAACTCTTCTAACTAGCACCTACTGCATTCTCTCCCCCTAATGCCTACCACATTAGTAAACACCATGATACCAGCAATAAGCCATGTATATTCTTGTTTCTGCACTACCCTGACGAACTAATATTGCTTTGAATGCTCCTTTCCTAGTAATTAGTGTATTTTCATAGAGTACGGTTCCAGAATTACTAAGCACCTTGATAATTTTCATGCATTTTTCTGCCACAGTACATTTAACAGCAAAATCTCAAGAATCTGTCAGAGAAATGATAAAAAATATGAAAAATGTTGACACAGTGCAGAACTGCAGTGCCTTTGAGTTGTATACAGTGCGGAATCTTTTACGTTTCCATGACACATATAGTTGGCTCTCTGAGTGGATAAAGATTTGCTCAGTATACCGCTTTCATATACCTAGATTAAGCAGCTATGTGATAAAATATACAAATTACAGAGATTATTAGAGATCTCAGTTTTCCAGTAGCCCATCACTAAAGTCTGCCCATCACAAATGTGTTCTTAGAACCTTATAATGATTTAGAGAATTACAGATCCCTTTTTCTGGATGAGAAAGCTCCAGACACCTCTCATTTTAAAAGGTTTCAGTTTATCTGCTCATCCCCCACCTGATTTCTTCCTCCACAGACTGACACTACAGTCTCTTTCATTGCAAGTGTGGATGTCAGGGTATCCACTCAGAGCTGCAGATGGAAGAATGGAAAGGCAAACTGGAGCTCTGAATAAAGAATGAGTCTATTTTCATGTTAATGACTCCTCTTAATGAAACAGATGACACAAGAATACAAAATACATATGAGCTTCAAGGATCTGAGCTGTCTCTACAGAGAGTGTTTTCTCAGACTTATGCAGTATGCATCAGCAGATTGCTTTAATGCTGTTCTTCAGGGATTTGAATTTTTCTGAGGTGGTAGTAGGAGGGGGTGTTTCACAGAGCAGCCAAAAATAATCAAATAAAAAGAAAATTCTCTTGGAAACAGACATAAGAAATGCTACTGTAAAAGATTCTCTGACAGCATTTGCAGGTAGAGCTTTCTCAAGACTAAAACTAGCAAGCTCAGTGGTGTTTCTTCACAAGACTTAGAGTGACCCACAAACTATTTACCAGACCACCATGACAGAGTAAAATGGCAATTATAATATCAGTGAGCAATCAGGAAAATGCATCTTTGCTTTCATCCACCATTCAAATCCGTTTAAAAGTCTTTAAAGTCTTCCAGATGTTCCTCCCCTGTCAAAATAAGCAGCACTAAGTAAATAAATGCAGCTTCAAGAGGGCCTGATGCTAAATGCTTTTCTTTATGTCTTCCCGATCTTAGAAAATTCACTGTTTAGATAGTCCTGGAAACAATCTGTGGTAAAGCAACTCCTCAGTCTTCCTTAGATATCAAGATATAGCCGTCATTCTCTGCACAATACAGCTATGTCCTGGTTGATCCCCTCAAAACCATCTGATATAGAGAAAGCACCACAAACAGGAGAGAATTTCCCCATGGTCTCCTTTCCTTTGAAAATTGTGCCTTTAGGACATCTCCTTCACTATTAATTTCTACTCTTAAGAATAACTGGAAGTCAGTCTTCTGACTTTTCAGGTTGATTAGACTCTGCATATTTCCAAGCCAAAATGCATAACAATTAATTAAAAAACAAACCACAGGGCACCCAGCAAGGCTCTACCCAACTTGTACATCAGCACGGGCTACCGAGATGTTGCTGTAGAAGCTTGGATTTCAACTCTACATCCATACCCTCTTACATCCCAGTTGCCTTTCACTTTTCTTGCATGTGGAGTCAGCAGTGGGCAAGCTCGGAGTGCAAAGGTCTGCCCTTCTGATTTAGCACTTCGGTGCTTATTTTGTCTGCAGCTACTTGGTTGCACAGAAATGGAAATGCACAGAAAAGCCCAGTATTTGTCTTTGTGGGGTACATATTCTCAGTTACACATGCATAGCTCTGTTTTCTACTATGGATGGTTTTGAGGACAGATAGTGTCCATAAAAGTGCAGCTAGTAGTGGTCTTTTTTTTTTTTTTTTTTTGTGATTATGATCATAATAAAAAAGCCAGAACGAGATGCAACACTGTTGCCATGAGTTGTATTATTTTTACTTTTGATAGTAGAAGTACAGTCTACCTTACACTGAGGTGTGTTATGCAAGGGACATTTTGTTCAAGGTGAAAATACAGGCTTGCAATTTCACGTTTTGTTTATGGCTGTAGGGAATTAGATGGGTGGTTGGAACATCTTTTCATCTTATACTTTGCCTTTGAAGCTGCAAGCCTGAGTTCTCTTATTTGTTAGGTTCTCAGAGGCCTTCAAAGTTTGAGCTCCATGGAAAAGGAAAATGATCTTTTTCATCATTATTGTTATTGCAGGCATCCATCTGCTCAATTCACAATAATCCACTACTGCAAGTAATGATGGGAAACCTTAAAAGGTTTGGAGAGCAGTACAGAACACAGGGATCCGGGAACAGGGACATTCTCTCGACCACTCTGACCTTTTTCAGTGAGCAAAATTTTGTGGATGTCTCAAAGACTGGATCTCCATATTTCTAGGACTTTCTGCTTTTATTAGCCCAGAAAAAAAACAAGAGATGTGTGGAGCTGTGTGTTTGCATCTGACACTTTGAAACTCTGCTAGGAGTCCTATAGGAAAGAAATAGGAGTGATATAAATGTATATTTTATATATATGTCTACCCAGACCCTCACACAAAAACAAGTTAAAAATGGAATTTAGTTTGCAAAAGCTTCAGCTAACACAGGTTCTGAGAAAGGATTAAAAAGCAGGAGCAGCAAACAAAATCCCTGGTATATCTTAGCAGACCAAATATAAATTTGACTTTGGAAGTAAATTTGACCTAGAGCTCTTACTTCTTCCACAAATTAAAAGAAAATATTTGACTGAACCACTCCTGAATCTTGATATGTTCAGAACCTGTGGTTTTGGCAAAAACATATACTTCAGAAGCTAGCACGGGGGTCTCATTTTAATCACCTGGTTCAGCTCCTCCTGATTTCAAGATGACAATTTTATTGAAAGCTCCTCTTTTAAGGGCCAGATTCATGAGCCAATTTCTGCTCACAGGTAGACTACTGCTTCCATGAAGAGCTGACAAGATGTCTCACAGATTTACACCAGTGTAAACAAAAAGAGGAGTAAGCCAAAATATATAAAGAATAAACTTATCTTTGATTTAGACTATGACAACTATCTTTGCAGGAAAACAGTTCAGTTTCTCCTTCATTCCTCAGCTTTCGTTTCCACATAAGTAGACGTTACACTAACTGCTGTTGCGTGACAGCATGGAGGTGTTTCAGGTAAGTACTTTACTGCGAGCATGGTTACAAACCTTTACACTGGGTATGCAAATCACTGCTATGGAAAGCAAATGCAAAGAGATCTGCCTGCAATCAGAATCATGAGGAGAGAATCAGTACACCAGACTGGGTAAATCTGTGATGAATAAAACTGAAGATGAGACAAAATACAAATTTGCTAGTAGTGGAGAACTTCAGAAAAAAGCTTGAAAAATAATTCAGGGGTTATTTTTCAGTGGTTGTGGCCACTACCAGCATTTGAATCTGAAGTCAAATCATCTGTTACAGACACTCCATATATTAAAATTTGTGAAATGCTCAGATTCTATCAGAACTACGTAGGCTGTAGCCCTAAGTGAATTTAGATACGAATCGTAAGGCATAAGCTAATACAGCAAAGAATTAAGCTTGCATCACTAACAAAGAGCTATGACACTTCTTATGGTAACTTTGGCATCAAACTTGCAAACATTTTGAATTGCTCTAACCAACTGACATTGAAAGATTCAGCAAGAGGAACTTACACATGGCTGATCCATACAGCTTGAAATCCAAATGGAAATCTTGCTTGGCTGCTTAGAAGCAATACTGCACAGTGATTTAAGCTCATAACTATATGTGCCTAGTTCAATGGTCATTAACTTGCTCACTTTCAAGGACTGAAGTAGGTTCAACAGCAGTCAAAAGCATAACACCAGCCAATGGAGAATGTCCACTGTCACACATGGCAGAAATGCTACTATCCTCAAAGACGCCAAGACTTTTTAGCCCTCACTAGTCTAAGCACATTCATCTCATCTTTGTATTTGGTGCAAAACCAAACAAGCTTATGCTGAACGGATTTGTATTCGAACTCAAAATGTTCACAGGAAATTGCAGAGCTCTCCCGTACTAAGACAATGCTTTCTTCAGACAATTATTTAGTACATTTCAGTTATGCATTATCCTTAGATCAAAGACTCCACTTTCAAGTGCTGTATAAACACACAACAGGAGGAACAATGCCCCTTTCATACCAGTTCAAAGTTAATCTCAACAAATTACAGTGCAGACTGGATTCATCCACATTGCCTTCAAGCCCCAATTTCAACATCTCCACATGTGTGGGGAAGCTGTGTCTAGGAAATGAGGAAGAGGTTTTTGCTCTTACCAGTAGAACCTGTTTGGTGCAACTCCCTCATGAAGAAGCAGCCATCTTCTGCCAAACTCCACTGAACTGAATAACTGGGGACAAAAACAAACAGTCATGAATCACAGTAAAACGCAAAGAAAATAAAGAAATAAATCTGAGGAAGCCTGTATCACTTCTGAGATAGTGACTTGGACTTTTACTTCCTCCAGTCTCAAAGGGCATCTGGGGCAGCTGAAAATCATCTGTGGTGCATTTTATAGGCAGAGTCAATACTCGGCTGTGTGACACAGGACACAACTGGTACTACCTGAGGCATCATTGTATGGGTACACCTGACAACCTGCCATGACTGAAAACTCATCATCTAGCTCTTTGTGGCACTCTCAGGTACTAAAATCATGCAGTATGGGAAAGCTGCATTTTATTTTTAAAAACTTGTGGTGGACACCAAATGTACAGTATAACACAGTAGTTTGACATCCTAGCCTAGCTCTGACAACAGACATACAGACTTGCCTGCCTTGATATTATGTTGGAAGGTTGTTCTCTTTCCGTAACCAGTACCCATCCCTGGACAGGTTGTTCAATCTCGTGCCAAAAAAAGCGTTCTAACATGTCCAGATTTCTCTTGCAGGACTAAATGAGTTTAAATAACACAAATTACTTGTACCGTGGAAACCTGCAATTCTCACTTTGCTCCTGTCCTTCTCCTGCAAACAACATGACACCTTCTCCTAGACGAGTTACACAAGCAATATCCAAATACATCAATCATTTCAGAAAATCTTTCCATGATAAATACCAAACCAGACTGAGAAAGGTCAGCAAAAAAGCATGTTACAGGTATGATAAATACTTTGCCATGTCTTTGTAGAACGATATAAAAACATTCCTGTTACAGAACACTTACAAATAGCTGCTGTCTATAAATGCTGCCATCAGGTAATTCCCAGAAGGATAGTAGAGGGCAAGATCACTTGGCTTCTGTCTTTCTTTTGCTTTATTTAACTTCATATTTCTCATGTGGAAGCACTGAGAGGCAGTCAGTCTTAAACTTTTTTTGCAGATTCATCCCATGTCCCCTCCCTTCCTTTGCTTGATAGTCTTGGCCACTTCCCTTTTCTGGCAAGGAAGACGTTAGACCCCTTTTTTGAGCTGTGATCTGCCTTTTCAGGACAAGACTTTAGAGATCTTGCAGAATACGTAAACAACCCAAATCTTTATGTGCAAACCCTGACAGATTTTTTTTTTTTTTTTTTTTTTCCTAAACAAGTAGTGGCAGTGGATTGGCAGGGAAGAGAAAGATGGAAGCCTGAGAGAATGACTGAGGAGAGAAGCTGATTTAAAGCTTAGGGTCGATCAGAAAGATTATTTGAATGTCTCTTAGGAATTATGAGTCTGGGATCTCAAGAAACCTTGAGGTATACTTCCTTGTCTGTATTACATTCTCAATGCAAACCCCTACATCCTCCAATCTCCCTATTGTAAAACCTTGGAAGGACATAGAGAAACTAATTATAACAGCATTTTGGTGAACAGTAGACTGTGTAAATGTTGAAATCTACTTTGAAAGAGGAAATCTCAAAATTCACCTTTTTTTTCTCATCTCCCTTTCTCTTGAACACTGTGAAAGAAGAGAGAGGGAAGAAGGCAGAGGGGATAGAAAATAATGAGGGTAAGAAAGGAAAAAACAGTTTAGCTTTATGAATAGAAATGCATCCACTTTTACAATTTCAGCAGGGAGGCTGTTATTTTTCCTTAAGTAGAAGATTCTAGATAAATTCTTATTTGAAACTTTAAGGAACTCTAACTAAAAAAAAACCTTTCAGTTTTAAAAATTAAAGAAAATCTTTTGGGACATTTAACAATGACTTTTGCAAAATGCCTTGAGGTCATCTAATCAAGAACTCTACCATCACAGGAGGTATTTTCCACCCTTCACATTAAAAATAAATTCCAAGACCTGCTTTTGTAATTGCAGCAAAAATAAAAATATAAAAACAAAACGCTACTGTCAATCTGCCTCTCTGATGTCAATGTTTTCCCTTCCACGGCAAAGTAGCTTCTTTGGTGCCAAGTAATATGCCTTTAACATATTAGTAATTTAAGTTTTAATAAAGTTCAGGGAACAAACTTTTTAGCAGGACCTGTTGTGCTAGGACAAGGGGTAATGGTTTTAAATTAAAAAGGGTAGATTTAGACTAGATACAAGGAAGAAATTATTTACTATGAGGGTGGTGAAACACTGGAACAGGTTGCCCAGAGAGGTGGTAGATGCCCCATCCCTGCAATCATTCAGGTTGGATGGGACTCTGAGCAATCTGATCTAGTTGAAGATGACCCTGCTTATTGCAGGGGGGTTGGACTAGACAACCTTTAAAGGTCCCTCCCAACTCAAACAATTCTATGATTCAATGATCCTTTAATTAAGAACAGGGAGCAATCCAAACAACTCAGCAAACAACTCTGTTACCAGACCAGGGATATATAGGATGTAAGCTTTCCAGGGAAACTAGCTGAGATCATCACAGTCAATTTTGTTTTCCCCCTTTTGTAGCTCTCACTCTACTCCTTCTCTAGTTTCCTGGAGCACCACTTTCAGCAGGTTGTGTCAAATTTCAGTTCAGAGGGTTTATTTGAATCTGCCCTCTCTGAATTCACTGGTGATAGTAACAATATTCTGAATGAATTAAACATCGCCCGTGAAGCTTTCTCTGTGCTTGTGCAGCATCCTCCTCCATGCCTGCAGTCCCTCTGCAGTGCCAGGTGGCTGAATGGCCCCAGTTCCACAGCATCCCTCTGGCTGTTTCAGCACAAATCTTCAGAGGGGCTCTTCACCTGGTACCTCTGACAACTCCTCCAGCAGAGCAGAAGCTGTGATGCTGCACCGCACCCAGGGAGACCTGCTGTCTCTTAAGCGTGTGCCCTGAATGAGACATGTGATTTGGGCAGAAAGTGGAGAAATAAAATACTTTATAAGTTTCTTTCAAAGGGAGGAATGGATACAGCAATTCTACTGCCAGGACTGGCCTCTCAAATTAGAAGCCAGTGCCCAGTGAGCACATGAGAAAAGGCAAAGCTCTCAAAGGGAAATATCGGTTTCTTGGGAACTCATGCCCAAAGCTCTCATTGTCTTTAATGAGACATTTTAATAACCAGGCTTTTACAAGGTTTTTCCTCCTTTACCATTATCTCAGCACCAAGCTCAGCCTTTAGTGATTCACAGCAGCAAAAGCAGCACTAATGTATCTTCAGCAAAGGGGAATTTCCCCACCTTATGTCACATGCCACAAAAAGAAAAAAAATCCTTTGCAGTGAGGACTTTTTCAGATATTTTATTCTAAGTAGAATTTATTTTAGATTGAGTTTATTTAGCTGGACAAGAAAAATATAAATATTTGGAGGCCAGGTTTTTGTCAAGTATCAGTTATGATACAGCTGGGACTATTTTTCCCCATTTAGCAATTACAGTGCTTGTGTGAATATTTTTTAAACCCAGCATAATATTTGTTGTTTTTATAAAAGCCCTCTCTCTCCTGGGACTTCTTGTGACAGACTCATGCATGAAGTCCCTTTAGAGATGACATTTTATTTTCTTTGGCAAGCATTGCCATCTGATGACTATTTTCATTATTAGACTGAAATTAGATAATGTTCTTGGGCACACTTCTTTTTCAACCACAAATAGAAAAGGAACCTATTACAACTTCAATGTGTGTTTTCATCTGAGGGCCAAGTAGTGATCTGACATTTCTGTTTTCACTGAGACACAACTGTTATGAAGTAGGAATTTCATATTGATCTGTCAGATTTGACCCTGGTTCATCAGGAAGCAATTATCTTCTTGCTTCCTCTTCTCTTGTATATTAGTTCTCTGTGCAATATGTGAGTACTTAACAATCAACAGTCTGGTGTTGCTTTGTTTTGCTTTTCTTACATTCTAATATTCTGTGAAGTAGAAACCTCTTTTAGATAGGGAAACAGAAATCAAAGGGAAAAGAAAAATCTATCCCAAGGTTACAAATATTTTCTGAGGCTGAGCAGGGATTCAAATAAACCTTCTGAACTGCAAGACAATCCCCAGCTACAGGAAGAGCCTTCTCACAACATGATATGACTATCTGCTGGAGTAGTGAAAGCTGTTGTCTGAAAACTGAACTTATCTACACCAAAAAATATCTGTGTGCTAATCACCCTCTCTGTTATTTGTTCCCCAACCTGTGTGAGAAGCATAAGAGCTGCTCATGTATCTCATAGTGATAGTGTAAGCTTCATATCATAGAATTACACTTAAAATGCTTTGGTAACAGCAGGATACAGTTGTCATTTAATCTTCTTTTTTTTTCTTTCCCTTCTAATTTCCTGATCTTCCAGCACTAATTTTAGACTTGCACAGCGTTTTTTGCATTTTTGGGCTCTATTAATTGATAACATTTTCAATTTGTGACTGTGTCCTGGTTTTGGCTGGGAGAGAGTTAACTCTCTTCACAGTAGCTAGTAAGAGGCTGTGTTTTGGATTTGTGCTGAGAAGGCAACTGATAAAAATACTGATGTTTATACTTGTTGCTAAGACAGTCAAAGACTTTTTAGCTTCTCATGCTTTGCCAGTGTCTACAGGTACACAAGAAGCTAGGAGGGAGCATAGCCCACAACTACTGGCTTAGGTTTAGGACTGAGACCCAAATTAGCCAATTGTATATTCCACATCATCCATGTCATGCCCAGTATGATGAGGATCTGTCAGGAAGTTCCTTGCTCTTGCTCTTTCAGTTGTCTCTCTCGCTCTCCTCTTTTCTGGGATTGTGGTTTTGGGACTCTCTCTTCTCCAGGATCACTAACCAAGATCAGGCTGAGCCTTGGTCATCAGGGGGTGAGCAGTTGTATTGGGTATCACTTATTTGTATATATTATTACATTATTATTTTATTATTTTTAATTTTATTGTAGGATAGTTACTGAATTAAACTAGTTACACTGAAAGAGTGATCAGGCATTGGAACAGGCTGCCCAGGGGAGGGGTGGAGGGCACATCCCCAGGGAAGTGGTGGAGTCACCATCCCTGGAGGTGTTCAAGAAACGTGTAGATGTGGTG